AGAGACTGTGCTGGGCTCTCCGGGGAGCTGAAGGGTGAGCTGAGCCCCAGCACATTGACCCGAGCCCTAAAAAACCCTCTGTCCACAGCCGCGGCACCCGTGCCTGGCCCAGGGAGGGGGTGGAACTCAGCGGGGGGGGCTGTCACGGGGCGAGGCCTGGGCCTCTGGTCTTGTTACCGCTCCCCCGCCCAGAGGTTCACCGTAGGTGCTTCCAGCTCAAGAGCCAAGAGGGGCAGACCCCCAAAGGAGAGGGCGAGTCTAGGTGAAGGGAGGGGGAGGAAGGAGCAGGGGGTGCCGTGGGCACAGGCGTGGGGTGTCGGCTCGGGGTGGCAGCCAATGGCGTGTGGCTGTGGACAGCGGGGTCGGGGAGGGACTGGGAGGACAGTAGGGACCACGGAACTCGGGGCCAGGTGCTCCACACTGAGGAGCGTGGGCCTGCCCCTTGCGAACTGTTCTCGGTTACGGGATCTGCAGAGAGCAGCCCCGGGACAAGGGGCCTGTGGGCGGGTCGGAAACGAGGGTCCTCATTCAGCCCGTGGAGCGGCCCTGTCTCCTCTTCGTAGTCGTGGATCGTGAACCTGCAGGGCAGGGGCTTGGGGACCAGGGCCCGGGCGGACCCAGAAACAGCCGTCTTTGTGCGACCTTCTCCTTCCCCAGGGAAGCCCTGCCCATCACCGAACAGTGTAGGAAAGCCAGACTGCAGCTTTATACCGAGAAGGAAGTTTCATAAAAACACTGTGACTCGTAAGTACACATCGAAATGTGTACTTAATCCTCTGTGAGACCTTATTTTGACTTGGAAACGCAGAGAAGAATATACTTTTTGTAAATAAATTTTAACCTACGTGTTATCTGCTTTTTGTTTGAAAAAAAAGTAGAAGATATCGTTTAGTGAAAAAGGAAAAATAAAACCCTGAAAATCTCCATCGCCTTTTCCGCAGCAACGCCCATCGCCCCTTGCCCGCCCGCCCCTCCCACACACAGGCTTTCCCTGGGTGCGTGTGTCTTTGCAAAACGTCACGATTCTGCCGCAGGGTTCTCAGACTTTTTAGACTTACTCTACTTCGGACGTTCGTTCGGGTCAGGAAGTCCACTCAGCAGGGGGAGCGTTAGTTCCTGAATGTCCCCGGAACATTCCTGAAGGCACCACGACCCAGCCAGCTCTGTTTCTGCTGGACTTTTCGGGTGTTTCCAGTGTTGTCCACATCCTTGAAAATAAATCATTTCCCACATCCTTTATTATTTCCTTAGGATAAACTTCTGAAAGTGGGGTTTTTAGTTCAGGCTCTATGCGCCTATTTTTTTTTTTTTTTAAAGAAGCCATTGGAGATGTGTGGCCCAGTGCTTCTCCCTCCGGCAGCTCCGGCGAACTCGCCCGCTGCCCCACGTGAGAGTTGTAGAGACACGAGCAAAACCGATTGAGGAGTCGGTCCCCAGGGTCCCGCACGTGACTTTCTTAAAGGAAAATGGAATGAGCTGGGACGGCCTGGCTTGAGGAGGGACAGCAAGGAACAGGCACATCGACAGAGGGGGCGATGTCCCTTTACCATTCTACCTCGAACCCGGTGACCTTCGGGCGGCTGTTTGTGTATCGTGTGTTTTTTAAAGATTTTGTTTATTTATTTTTAGAGAGGGAAGGGAGGGAGAAAGAGAGAGAGAGAAACATCAATGTGCGGTTGCTGGGGGCCGTGGCCTGCAACCCAGGCATGTGCCCTGACTGGGAATCGACCCTGCGATGCTTTGGTTCGCAGCCCGCGCTCAATCCACTGAGCTACGCCAGCCAGGGCTTATGTGTATTTTTCTTACAGCACCCGGTTCTGCCACTGAGAGGAGAGAATGGGTTCCCGGGAAGGACGGATTTCTAGGCCGCAGCCCCCCTCCCCGCCCCGGGACCTGGTCCTCCCGCGTGGGTAAGGGCGAAGCAGCACAGAGCAGAGAGAGGCAGAGCCGGGCTGGGGCCTTGTGGTGGAGGCCAGAGGGGGCGCCCTGGGGCTGGCCAGCCGGCAGGAGGCCCTGTCCGAGAGGCTGCAGCTGCCCCCTCTGCCCAGAGCCGAGGGCAGGGGCGGCCTGAGGGGAGGGCGTCCGAGGCCACAGTGCCATGCGTTTCTCTCGGAGGACTCATGATTGTCGTGAGGAAAAAAAGTAGAAACAAGACCCGTGAGAAGAGTCTGGGGTTTTGAACATGTTGTCCCGGGAAGCAGAGCCCTGACCCAGTGACCCGGCACCACCGGAACTCCACCGAGCAGGAGAAAGCCGCACTTCCATGCCCGCGTTGGTTTTCAGACTGACCAAGCGTCCCCACGCGGGGGAGTCACAGGCAGGCACAGGAGGGCAGGCACGCCCTCCCGTCCGCACGGCCCCTGGAGTTTCTGCCGATGCTGCTGTCTGTGCTGTGCGGGGAGCCAGGTCCCCCTCGGCCTCCAGACGCCGCGCGCTGGTTGCTGGCCAGGGCGCGCCTGCTAGAACGGAGGCTGAAATCCAGTACAACCGGTAAAGCCGACGGTGCGCGTGCCCTGGGAGCCGGCAGTTGCACACCCAGGCACACGCCCCGGGCCAAGAGCTTCCGGAGCGTGGTGTGCACGCGGGTCATCGGAGGGGCGTGTGTGAAAATGCAGGCCCTGATTCTGCAGGTCTGGGGTGGCGCCCTGGACTCTGCATTTCCAGTTGGCTCCCAGGCTGTGGCGATGCCCCTGAGCCTCTGAGTGGTGAGGCCCTGGAGGCGGGGCGTGAACCTGGGCTGTGCGTCAGAACGGCCGGGGAGCGTTCCGCAGCCCTCGTGTCCCGGCTGCTCGCGTCCGCAGGCGAGCCGGGCAGCGGCGGCAGGGTTCCCGTCTCCCCGTGACTCCTCCAGCGTGGACCCCGGGCTGCGGCCCCGTGGGGGTTCCTCCACGTGTGCACCGGGGGGGTAGACCTGGGGGTGTCCGCCAATCAGCCAATCAGACGTGTTCCTATGGGGAGTGCCCAAGAGCTGCTTAAATGGCCGGCTGTACCTCCGTGCATGAGCGGGGACACATCGTGAAAGCACAGTGCTGAGAGCCACAGCCAGCCAGACAGCACTCGTGTTCTCTGTGAGGACACAAAACAGAGTGTCCGGCTGATGTGGTAAACATGCACAAGCCCGTGTGGGCGCCACACCAGCCCCCACTGTGGCGGTCACTCTGCAGTGCACAGGAGGGCGTGCGATGCGGCAGGTGGTTCTGGATTGGAAATGGTTTCTTTCTCTTAAAAAAGATAAGGAACAGAGACCTGGCTGGCGTAGCTCAGTGGATTGAGCGCGGGCTGTGAACCAAAGTGTCGCAGGTTCGATTCCCAGTCAGGGCACATGCCTGGGTTGCAGGCCACGGCCCCCAGCAACCACACATTGATGTTTCTCTCTCTCTCTCTCTCTTTCTCCCTCCCTTCCTTCTCTAAAGAGAAATAAATAAAAATCTTAGGAAAAAAAAGATAAGGAACAAGAGCCGTGTGATTTCACGCATGCGGACTGTCAGACAGAAGCAGCAGACAAGACAGACAAGCAGACTCTCAGACTCACACAACGGTGTGGCGGTCTCCAGAGGGGATGGACGGGGAGGGTGAGGCGGGCCCAGGGGGTCAAGTGCGCGGTGACAGGAGGCGACTGGGCGTCGGGTTGGGGGGCGAGGGGGGCTTAGTAGAATGCACAGGCGATGCGTCATACAATCGTGCATCTGAAACTTAAATAATGTTCTCAACCAACCTGGCCCCATGTGTTTAATTTAGGGAAAGGTGTGAAAGGGAAGGGAGTGAGGGACAGAAGGGAGGGAGGGGAGAGGACCGCGGTGCTGTGACTGCCGGTTTCCCACCGCTGCCGCTGTCCCCTCTGCTCCCGTCTGGGAACGTAAAATCCACTTCCACAGCACATGACACGTCCCACTCGGGAGCCTGGCACGTGAGCAACACCACGCAGGTTCGATGAGCTAAAACGTGATTTAAAGGGATGATTGGTCCTCACACCAGGATCTTTCACTCCCTGCGGTCGGAATGCCCTGGCCCGCCTGACCCCTGCGGGCCCGTCCGCAGACCGAGGCCGGGGCTCTCACTTTCCACGTGGAACACACGGAAAACAGAAGCAGCCTCGGGAGGCCGCCGCCAGCTGGCAGACGCCGGGCTCCCAGCGCTGGGCTCCTGCGCCCGCCCAGGTGTCTCAGAGCTCAGGGGCCCCAGGGAGGGGCCCATCTGCCAGGGAGCGCCCTGCGTGTCTAGCCCCCAGGCCGTTGGCGATTCTGTTGGGCACGGCCCGCTCCTTTCTCCCCAGGGCCCTGCCTCCTGGCCCCCCCCCGGGGCCCCCTCCCTGCCACGGCAGCGGAGCGTGATGAGACCTCGCCTGCATCCTGTGGGCGCCTGGGCGCCGCAGCTGGGGAGTGGGAGTCCCGGCCAGCCCCGCCCCTGCAGGTGTGAGTTGGCGGCGGACCGAGTTCTCTGCGGGACAGGCGGGTAACTGACAGCTCCCTCCCAGAAACGCAAACCCCAGCCGGTGCTGGGGTTTGGGCGTGACTAAACCGACACTTTCTTCCCAATTCCGTGGTCAGTATTTTTCAGTTTTTGGTATAAATACCGGTTAGGGTTTTTTTGGAATGTGTCATTAGCATCTACCTGATACGTGTTGCTAACTCATGATCTCATAGAAAGATGCCAGTGGATTTCTAAGGGAATTTTCGATTCGTAGGTACTGATTTTAAGTGAATAAATTAAAATGAAAATAAATGGGGGAAAAAAAGAAGAGTACCCGGCCCCCATCTCTACAGAAAACCTGAGAGTGTTTGAGCCGCAGAGGGGCAGGTCGGGTGAATGAGCTGAAGCCCGCAGAGCAGTTCCTCCAAGGACAGACCTGCTCTGGGACTCCCCCACACCAGCCCCCTCTCCTCCCGTTGCTCCCCGGAGCCTGGCCCCCGGACCCGCCCCGGGCGCAGCCTCGGAGACCTGCCCCTGCCCTAGACGCTGGCCTCCCGGAGCTGACCCGGTCCGTGCCCCTCCCCTTGCAGATCCCACGCTGTGGAGCACCGACCACGTGCGGCAGTGGCTGGAGTGGGCGGTGAAAGAGTACGGGCTCCCGGACGTGGACGTCGTGCTCTTCCAGAACATCGACGGCAAGGAGCTGTGCAAGATGACCAAAGATGACTTCCAGAGGCTCACGCCCAGCTACAACGCCGACATCCTCCTCTCCCACCTCCACTACCTCAGAGAGAGTAAGGCGGCGCCCCCTCAGGGCCGAGGTCACTGCCCCCGCGGGGCTCTGTCCCATGGCGGCACCTTTCTGCCCTACCCTCCCTACCCCGACCCCCACCCTGGGTCTGAGAGAGCCGGTTGCTTAGCAGGCGAGGACTTAGTGAACTCGTGCTGTGCAGTGGGCAGCAGCAGCACCAGCACAAGGGGCCAGAAAGTCGCCTTAGCCTCCTGCTTTCTCCCCCAGGGCCCCCTGGACGAGCAGGTCAGAGGGAACAGAGGCTTTACCCGGTCACCTGTTATTTAGTCTCTCCGGCGCCCCAGAGGCACTAGAGACGTATGGAAAGGGTCCCACAGGATGGGGAGTAGGGGTTCGCCTTCCCTAAAGCTAAACTGGGGACCCACGTGAACACGCAGTGAGGGGCATCTCCTCCCCTGGTCTCACGAGGCGTGGCCGAGCCTCACCGGATGGGCACGGCACGGTGGCACCTAGAGGCATGGACCCCCCGAGGCTGCCGCATGCTGTCATGTGCCAGACGTCAAGCATGGTCCGGGAGAGGTGGACGCGGGGCGAGCGTGGGGTGGCAGAAGCTCCAGTGTCAATGCTTTGCCTGGCGTCCCCACCACGCGCTCCCTGAGTCACCCGTGGGTGCCCCTCGAGGTTTTAACACGCTAACAAGTGGCAGGGCCACGGAGAGATTTCCACGCAGCCCGTGATGTTAGTGGGGGCTGGGGGGGCGTTTTCTTTCTTCTTTCTTTCTTTTTTTTTAAGGAAGGTAATTTTCTCTCTCTCTTTTTTTTTTTTCATTTTGATGTTGCTGTTTTGTTTTGTAGCTCCTCTTCCACATTTGACTTCAGATGATGTTGATAAAGCCTTACAAAACTCTCCACGGCTAATGCATGCTAGAAACACAGGTAATGCTGGCCCTGCCCCTCCCCCCAGGACCAGCGTAGGGCCCCGCCCACAAGTTGCGTGCTGCTGTCAAGGTGGCGCGTGGGACGGTCAGTGCAGCAGGAAGGCAGACGGCCGGGGTGGACGCTTGAGGGGTTGTGACAGGTAGGAGGCTCTGTGGTGGAGGCACCACGGCCGAGCGGCAGGGGGCGCCCTTTGGTTCCTGCGCACTCCCCGCTTTCCTTGACCACCGAGAACTTTTAACCAGGAGGTTGTGCAGAAGTGGCCTTCCGCCGCAGCCTTAGCTCTCACTGGCTGGGCTCCAGCCTGCTCCCGCTAGCCCCCAGATGCGCACTGTGCTGGCCGTGGACGCTAAGAGCATGTTCGATAGAAAGGGGCCCTTAGCCTTCTTCTTCTTCTTCTCCTTCTTTCTCCTCCTCCTTCATTTTTACCCTTCGAGGAGTGTTGACTAGGACCAGCAGAACTTTCATTTTTTCCTCGTGGGTCGAGTTTTAGGCCACTGGTCTTGACTTTAATCTTCGGGCACAGACTTTGCACATTGGCGAAAGGCAGGCGGCGGGGACACCGGTACTTTCTGGGAGCGCGTGTTGAAGGGGAAGCGGTGTTACCATTTTGGAGGATGTGCACCGAGTTACTAACCGGATACCTGCTCTTCTTTCTCTAACCACGGAGTCTGCCTTTTATTTGACTGTTTATTTTTCGCCCGAGCCTAGTAGAGTGGAACGTAGTGCTTCATCCAGGCCGACCTCCCGCCCTCCTCTCCCAGCAGAGGCTCAGGGTGGGGGCTGAGCTTCCCGCAGCCGCGTGTGCCCGGGGCCGGCCTCTGCTTCCTCCCTCCTGCGGCCGACAGCCGCACACCTACACGCGTGTGGCCGCAGACCGCCCCCCCACTTCTCAGCCTGCACCCACCCAGGCTGGGGACACAGCCGTCAGGGGCCAGTGAGCCTTCGCGAGCCAGCTCCCGGCCAGCCCTCCCACGGCAACACAGCCGTGTGCCGGATATTTGCCATTTGGTTATAAAATGTATCACGTGAGCCCAGGTTTGAGTACTGCAATGAGATTGCTACTTGATCTTGGTCCTCAGCATTCCGAAAAAACATTGTGCTTTTGATCTAAAGTAAAAAAAAAAAAGTGCTTTGAGTGGGTAGGATACTTTTTCAATGTCAGTTATACTCATTAGCCTAGTAATGGCCTTGTGGCCAGAAATAACAAATAACTTAGATAAAGTAATTTCCCCCTCTTAGGAAACACCTTTGCGCTGTACATATTGTCTGGTAATTTCACGGGCATTTCAAAAAAGGAAACAGTGAGTGAAAGTTTCTAGAAACCTCTGATTTCATTATTTTTGTTATTGTTAAGCACAGAAGCAGTCCACCACCAGGACAACCACCCCCAAAAGGACTGAGCTGAAAAAAGGGAACATTTTCTGCTAATGCGTGCATGGTGTGGGTTGAGAGACAGAAAGGGAGAACAATCATTTGAATGCAGATGCGGATTAATTTTTAATAAGATCTATGTATTCTTCGAGAAAGTACCTATAATTCTTTGGTGCTACTTCCCAAGGGCTCCGTAAAATGTTCTAGAGGGTTTTTATTTTGGGAGGGGAGCGGGCAATGTCAAAATGAAAACACACACAACCGCAGACTTCTGTAGTAAATGAAGACTGCTGGGCGAGTGGTGGGGACACCAGAATGAGCTCCCGCAGGAAGCTGTGCCGTCCCAACCCAGGACACCTGCTAAGCAGAGGGGCTCAGGGGAGTCTCGTGCCTGCTTCCCACTTCGCAACCTGCCGCCCACGCGGTGCTGTCCTCGGCCCCCGGCCCCAGGTTCCAGCAGGCCCCTCCCTTCTCGTCGTGGTCACAGGGGCAGGGCAGGCGGGCGCTGTTGCTGAGAGGGACCGCGGCGACCACGGCGGGAGACCTTCACCTGTTCTGTCTCTCCTTTTGTCCGCAGGGGGCGCAGCTTTTATCTTCCCCAATACTTCAGTCTATCCTGAAGCTACGCAAAGAATTACAACTAGGCCAGGTACGGACATGCCCCCGAGCTCGATCTGTGCAGTGAGAGACATCCCAGGAGGGCCCGCGGGGTCCGTGACCCACGTCACGCGGCGCCGAGAGAGAGCCCCTGCGCGCCGGGGGGCGGGGGTGGGGGCGTCCCAACCCAAACAGCCCCCGTGGTCCGGAGCCCAGGCAGGGCGGCCGGTTCATTCACAGCGCGCGCTCACAGCCCCGTGGAGCCCCGTGGCGGCGTTCACAGCGGGTCAGCCCCTCGGCTGGCCGCGTGCGGGGCAGTCGGACGGGCAGAGACGGCGTCCTGGGCGCCTGGCGATCAGGAGCCCGCCCACTCTTGAGTTCACTGAAGGTCGGGAGTGTGAACGTTGCCCCTCAGGGGAACGGGACAGAGCGAGAGGCAGTCCCAGGAAACCGGTGACATGTAGCCAATAGGGCCGACTGACTGCAGAGCCATTGGCACAGGGCGGGGGGAAGGAGGAGGGAAAGGAGCCCCCTCCTTCCTCTCCAGGTGAGGGGCGGCCTGCCTGAGGCACCTGTCCCCTTACCAGGCTTACAGTAGTGCCACACACTAGCTGCTGTCGTGCCAGCCTCACAGCTGAGCAAATCGTGGTTCGGGGCGCCAGGATGGTTTTCTCACGTTCGCACACTCAGGCTCGGGCTGCTGTTGCCCTGGGCCCTCGATCTCACTCCGGCTCCACGCGTCTTAGCTGGAGCTGGTGGGAGGCACGAAGTTCACAGCTACCGTCTCCTTCCGGTGAGAAAGGCTGCGGGTTGGGGGGCGGCGCGCAGGCTAAGGAGGACGGACGAGTCAGGCAGCTCCTTGGCATTGCTCTCGCCGGGCGCTGGCCCGGACGTCCCCAGGGGTTCGGGCTGGCGGTTTTCTCCTTAACGTCTGAGAAGATGCGTGCTCCCCTCTCCCCGAGGAGCATGGGGGGAAGGCTCGGGCTCGGCCACAGGGCTCCCTTAGCTCCGTCGTGTGAGGGGTTGTGCAGGCCACTTACTCCTGGGCAAGACCCGGGGTCCGGAGAAAAGCAGACTGGCGCTCCGGAAACCGTCCCGTGCGCTGCGCACGGAAGCATGGAGGCCCGTGTCCCTCTGGCCCTGGAGAGTTCGGACTTTACTGCTGGCCAGTGCGTCCTTGGGAACTCGTAGGGAGAGTGGGGACATCACAGCGATTTTGTGAGCATTTAAAAACACTTCCACCCTTACTTTAAACAAACAAACAAGTCAACGCTCTCTGTAAAACAGTTAGTTGGCCAGAGTCGGTTGGTTGGTGTGAAGCGATCTCACAGAGGCCTCGGGCAGAGCTACAAGAGCCAGGGGTGGTGAGCTGGTGTTGCGTTGTATCAGGAGACCACGGCGCTGGCCGGGGGGGCTGGTACAGCCCCGAGGTCTGAGCGGCCTGGCGGCTGCTGGTCGCTACACAGACAGGACAGTGGATCCTGGCACTAGTGTTTTTCCTGTTTGAGGAGCTGGTGGGTTTGGAAGATACGGCCTGGCCAGGTCTGAGGAGCGGCCAGGGAGGGTGACGGCCCGGCCACCCTCCCTGGGCTGCAGCCGAGGGAAAGACCGGGGCGGCAGATTCCAACGCCCCTCCCACGGCAGCGCCGAAGGTGCTCTTCCTGGTGCCCGTGCTTTGAGATCACACTCCCTTATTTCCATCACTAGCAAAGTATGTTTCTGAGACTCTCGATTTGTGTCAACAAACGCCTACTTCGATGACAGCTCCTGCAGCTATGAAAAGAGGGACGAGCTGTGGCATCTGAGCTGGAAAGAATTGCGACCAGACCGAGCAGGCAGAGAACACTTCATTGTGCGCCAGATGCAGGGGCCGGGCCTCAGGGAAGAGGGGTTATGTGTAGGCGTCAGGTTGCAGGAGGGGTCTCGTGAGTGGGGCAGCCGGTGGTAGTGTCCGTGGAGAGCGTCGGGGCGGCTCAGGGGGTGTGAGCACTGCCCAGCTGACGCCCGAGGCCTAACAAGTCACCGGGGCGGGGGGGCGGAGAGGGAGTCCCTGGGAGTGTGGCTGCACCTCTGTGGTCAGTGGGCGTCTTTCTGCTCTCAGAAAAGCTGACTCTTGACTGACTCTTTGGGGGAGGGGTCCTTGAACCCTGGAGGTAGAGACTCGAGTTCCTGTTCCCTTGCATGCTCAGCTGGCTGTGTCGTGATCTCCAGGTCCAACCCCTGTTCCCTACTCCCCCCCCCATGCACACAGAGCACCCCTTCACCCCGCTGTGTCATCTGCTGAGTCCGGCTTCCCAGTCCCCCTCCGTTCCTCTCTGCCCCGAGCAACCCATCCCGGGGCTGGTGCCCGCCATCCGCCTTGCTGCGGTCGGACCTCCCAGGTGGATCCCTTGCTGCTCGGATTCCGGAGTCCCCTTGCTGCTCACCCTGGCAAGTCGCTGTGTCATTTCGGTTTCACCCCGTCGCTGGCCGAGGCTGCTGCAGAGACCCTGCAGACAACCACATGCGGGCACATTGCCCCTGTGTTCACGCTCGTCCATCCCCTCCCTATGCTTGTTCTGTGAACTTTCCCCAAATGTTCCTGATTCAGAATGCACCCCTTTGTTACAGATCCCTTTGTTACAGATCAGCATTCAGAGCACTCTCTCCTCTCCTCTCACACGGCGGCGTCCGCTCACAGGCGTATCACTGTACACCCTGTTTCTGTGATCGGTATTTTAAGGTGTTTCGTGTGTTTCTCAGGTTGTCGGTTACTGCTGCCAGAAACCTTTCCCCATCTCCCTCCTAAGCACCCTCCTCCTCAGCGGAACTCGTGCCTTGGGGGTCACGGCCCCTCGAGGGTCTTGGGTGGCACACGCAGAGACAGTTCTGACTCCCAGAAGCTTGCAGGCTGGGTTCTGATCCCAGGATGTGCCCCCCGGCCTGGCCTCTTAGGAGCGGTGTGTGTGACAGCTCTGGTGTGTGCCTAGGAGGTATGTGCCTAGGAGGACATGCTGTAACTGCAGCCTCCCCTCCTCTGTCACCATGGCAACCCACACATCGCGATACCCGTCTGGGTAGTTATCGGGAGAGGACAGAGAGGTGAGCCTGCAAGTGCAGCCTTGACTTCCACTCTCAGCTGCTGCTCGTCGGGGCTTTCTGGGAATTCTGGATCGCTCCTCCGTCGCGGCTCACGGCCAAGGGTGTTCGGCAGCACCAGCCGGAGCCGGACAGCGTGGCTGCTGCGTACTTTCCCCGCCGTCGGATGGCCTGCGCAGCTGCATCTCAGCAACGGCTGAGCATGCGCTCTTTGCGTTTCTGTACTTGTGACGTAACCAGCGGTCGGCAAACCTCGACGTGAGGGGAATGTGAAATGCCCCCCGGATCTCCATCCTTTGGTGGAGGATTTTGGAAGATATGGAGGAAAATGAGAGAACACCTTACTTGTCTTAGGGTTGACTCTTTTTTTTTTTAAGTCACAAATGACTTTTTTATTTTTTAAAATTTTATTTATTTACTTTTAGAGAGAGGGAAGAGCAGGGAGAAAGCGAGGGAGAGAATCATCAGTGTGTGGTTGCCTCTCACGCACCCCCCTACTGGGGACCTAGCCCACAATCCAGGCTTGTGCCCTGACTGGGAATCAAACCATTGACCCTTTGGTTCCCAGACCAGCTCTCAGTCCACTGAGCCACACCATTAGGGTTGACTCTTCATCTCCCTCCCATTAAACTGGTGTTTACAGATCGGTCCCGGGCAGCAGCACTCGGTCCTTCCGTCTTTGCCGTTGGCATCCAAGTTCATCGAGGGCCAGCCAGCCTCATTCTCTACAGTCCGTCCCCGCTCGGGACCTCGGAGGAGCTTTGCAATGTGGGGCGGGTCCTGCAGAAGGAGCGAGCGTGTCCCCCAGGAGCCAGCTTCTGGCCCTTTCACAAATAAAGTGGGCGGGTGGCCGGCAAGAGGGCTAGAGGGCCGTTCCTCAGTAAGCTCGAGAGCGGAGAATAGGAAACTTGGCGAGATGAACTCTGCGGGAAGGGCCGGGAGGGCGTTGTATTGATTACCTGATATCCAGGGGGAGGTGGGTGGGGGGAGGAAGCCCCTTCAGAACCAGGAGCGGATTGATCCAGCCCCCAGTAAATCGACAGAGGCGCGGATGTGGAAGAACCAACACAGATCAACCCCGCCTACATGTAGCTTCGTGGTTATGGGTTCAGATCATGCCATGTGCTTACTTCCATGTGACCCTGAGCTGCCTATGAAATGGCTTTTATAGAGTTCAGTTCTGACACACAGGCTTTACAGGGAAAAAAAAAAACCAGCTGGATCAATGCCAGAAACCTACCTTCCCCAAAGCAGGACCTTCTGCCGAGGGTTTGCATTAATGACCTTGAAGATTGAGGTGGACGAGAAGTGGAGAGTGTATTGAAATGGCCACTGAGGACGAAGTGTCAAATACGTCCTTGTCAGGAGTCCCCTGATCGGCCACCAGTAAGGGGCACATCGCAGATGTCCCCGGAGTAGGAGCGTTTGGAGCAGAGTGCGCCTCCGCTTTGAGGGGCCAAGCTGCTGACGAGGCCAGCGCCGGCCGCGTCTCATCCCCCCAAGGCCAAGTTCAGCGCCTCGCATGTCACGTCCCACGGGAGGGGGCTCGGGGCCCACGGCACGGGGTCGGCAGCCGAGAGGGGAGCGCCGGCCCGGACTTTCACGAAGGCAGACGGGAGCCCGCGTCCCTCCCGTGGCAGCGTGTTTAGGGGCACCCTGGTCATTGTTCACGGAAACACCTCGGATTCTTGGCTGACACTCACACTTGCTGCTGTTCGGGCCCTGACTTCCGTTCAAGGGAGGAAGGGCTTGGTGGTGCACCCTACAGAGGGTTTTATGGAAAAAAGAAAGTTTCAAAATGTCTTTCTATTAGCAGTTTGGAGTTTCATTTTTTCCAGTCACATTTCATGAGCACTACTGGTTTTCTTTTTTATGTTTAAAATAGTAGCCGACTCACCTGCTGACACTTGCTATCAATTCCACTCGTGTTCTTAGATCTCGGGTAAAACCGCTCAGTCTGGAACTCTTCCCACACATTTATTTACTGGCATCAACACACTCAGGCAGTGTTTCCAAAATCGCTGTCTGGGGGACACAGCGTGTGGACAGGAGGGATGGGAATGTCTGGGACAGGCTTTCTCGAATGTCAGCGCGCACCCAGGCCACCTGGGATCTCGTGAAAATGCGAGAGTCCGCATCTCCGACGAGCTCCCAGACGCTGCCGGCCTTGCTGGTCTGCGGACCACGCTTCGGGATGCAAAGGGCTAGGACGTGTTTCTGTGCGGTCTCGCTGTCTCTCATGGTCGGCAGAAGCCCCTGGCTGGTGTGCGTGTCTCCTCCGGGATTGGGCTAGATGCTGTCGCGATCGCCTCGCTGGTAGATTGTTTTGGTTCTGAGACGATCCTCAGACTGAAACCCTGGCTAACCGTTCCTTAGACAAGACGCAAGCTGGGTGAGAATCTGTATGCAAAGTGCTCCCGGAGACTTCAGTTGAAATTGCCTTGAACATCGATAGCGGCCGCCAATTTAATGCCCGTGTGCAGCCCCGACACCCACAACGTGAGACTTGGAGGACCTGGGTGGGAACAGCTGGCGGTCGGAGGGCGCGAGGGCGCCAGCCGACGGGTTGTGGTGAGCCACGGCAGAGTTCAAAGAGGAAAAACATCTAGCTCAACCAGGGCTGCGGAGGGGGGATTTCACCAGCCACACACGCCAGCGGAGGCACGTGCAGCCAAGCAGACCGAATACATTACAGCAACTCTGTGTTGCATTTCACGTTGCATTTCGCCGCTCTTCTCTTTGGGATGTGAAAATAGGAAGAGACACCTCTCCTGCAGCAGAGTGCAGCTTTTTGAAGGTTGATCCGCCCAATTTGCAAGTTTAAATAAGGTCTAAATGATCTGTGTAAAGACAGGCGCAAAACAAAGTACAGTGAGCTGCCCCCTCCAAGTGCGATTTGGTAGCCATCTGCAGGCGTCTGGCAGCAGATACGCGCCGGAATATCTGGCTGTGGCTCTTTCAGTTGATCCAGAATGACACACAGCGTTGAACTGAGACCCCTCGATCCAAGAAGATGTGGTTTTGAAATGGTTCGGCAGGTCAAAACAGCTTTATGCCCACACGGTTCGAGCATGTGTGATCATGTTCCTAGAATATATTATCTTTTTGAAAGAAACCTAAAATGACTCAGAGCCTTCATAACCATTAACAGAACTTGCACTGAGGATGCAGAAGTAGTTATTAAATTTGCATATGCAAAGTGCATCAAGATTCATGGGACACGAGATAACGCATGACCAAGACGGAGAAACTAGTGGCCTCCACTGACGCCCTCATGCTCATTGCTGCCATGTTGTGGGCACACTACAATCTCAGCCTCGCAGTTTATTTCATGGGCTATATTTTAGAGAAATTCTAAGTTCATTTAGAGAAGAAGAAAGAGTAGACATGTCCACAGAACAGTAAGAAGACAGTTAAGATGGATTCGATGTGAATGGATGAGATGATAGAGAGAGAAGGAGGGGTCGCTGAGAGCGGCGGCTGGAAAATAGGGGTAAGAAGAGGGTGTGTGTCTGTAAGGAAGAGAAGGGAACGTGACCATCATTCGGGGGATTGAGGTGCAGCCCTCAAACGAGATTGGTCAGAGGGCGGGCGCTGTTCTGGTTGGGCCATGCAGATCAAAGAGGGGTGGAGATAGGTCGGTCCCATTTGGATGCAGGACGCGTTAGACTGGAAGAACCTTCCAGCACGGCCATGCCTTGCAGTTGCTGGAGGTCACCTTGGAAGAGTCAGCAAGCTCCGAGGGAGCCTGTCCGTGGGAGTTTTCAGGCAAACCAGTGAAAGCGTTAGATCAACAAAACACACAAAATTATAACTCGTAAACCAAACCCAGACCTAGTGGAATCCAGGTTGAAAATTTCTTTGGGTTCCAGGATTTTCTTGCCCAATATTTATTCAAAGAAACACAAAACAAAAAAAGTACTATAAAATTGCATTATTGATCTTTTAGTCAATGTACTTGTCTTTACAGATTTACCTTATGAACCACCCAGGAGATCAGCCTGGACCGGTCACGGCCACCCCGCCCCCCCGTCGAAAGGTACAGTGTTGGCTCCCGTGGCCTTGCACCTGCCCGTCACAAGAGAGTGGGTGACTCTCGGTGGAGTAAACAATGCTTCCTGTAGCTCACCTGTGCCCTCTCGACACGGCACGTGGCTGGCCCATTGGCCACAAAAGCACAACTGGTCTTTAAATGCAATGATTCTTCCTCCTCTGGGGACGTGCCCACTTCCATCAGAGGAGAGGTGACTAGTGCCGTGGATGGGGTTGGCTCAAAAGCGTGTTTAGTGTCTTCTGTAAAATGAAAGACACATTTTTCATGTCCACCAGGACCTTTATTGATTTGGATACTTTGGGTGTGTTGGTCGTCTCCTGAGCGGTGGAGCGTTGGTTGCTCTCAGGTAACGTCCCAATGTGACCGCTGTCATTTCCCATCTGGTCTTCTTGACCGTGACCGTGGAGCACCGTCCAGAAAGAGATCTCTGGCACGAAACTTCGACTACTTCTGACACGTTTATCAGTCACAGAGCACCTTCTCCATACACTGCACTAGTCTTTTTGCATTTCAGGTGCCAGAAATGGTGTGTGTTTTCTCCCATCGTCCATATTAAAATGGCTGCACAAAAATTCACCAATTCGGATGTTTTTCTTAAATGCACGCTGGTGTGACAGCTGTCCCAATACAGTCTGACAGAATTGTTTCAGATGAAGTTAAAGACAGCTGTGCACCACTAGAGCCATTGTATGGAAAAAAACAAACGAACTTTTTGGCTCACCCAGATTTCAACACACGCACGCACACACACATACACGCACATGGACACACATGCACACACACACGAGTCATGGTACGTTTGGGCACAGATTCAACACTGAGTGATTTCCTAATTTTGGCCACGTTTAAAGTGTCTCTTGCTTTATTTCATTTCCCTGACCTTTTCCCTTTTATTTATTTTAAACTGATCCATTTGCATCTGTTTTGTAAGCCATTTCAAATTCCATTTCTTTAGTGGGGTACAAATACATTTGTTAAATGATTTAAAGGTACCCTTGGCCAGGTGTTCCTTACTGTAGAAGGAAGCCCGTAGCACGTCCCTACGACGGTCGCTGGGAGGATGGCACGGCAGCGTCGACGCCCAGCGGCCAGACACAGCTCACGGCTAACCGCCTGCATTTGTGTCTTCCAGCTGCTCAGCTGTCGCCGTCCACGGCGCCCAAGACCGAGGACCCGCGGCCTCAGCTGGGTATGGTTCGGGGGGACCTCTCAGGGGCCCTCGGAGGAGAAACAGGCTTCCGAGCGCACTTCTAAAATGTGTCCTTTTCCAAACGAAACACGTCACTCTGTCTCCTTTACGACTGCTTTGTACACAAAACGGGGACCCCGTGATCAGCCTACGCAGCCAGGGTGGCTGGAGACTCTGGTAAACCGTGTGCAGCACCCACAGAGTACATGTGGAAGGACGCATTCCGCGTGCACACGGGCTGCTGCTGCTGCTGCCCTCTGACCCCCGGATTCTTTTAGTTGCACTTGACAGGCCAGGCACCGCAGCGCCATCAGCGGCGCGACACCCCACTCGAGGCTCAGCGGGAGGTTGACAGTGTCGGCGGGGGCTGACTGGGGACTTACCACCCGAGGGCCCGGTTTATGGCCAGGAGCAGAGGGCACGTGGGGCTGGGTGTTGGGAATCCCAGGCCAAGCCTGAGCTCTGATGAACAAGGGGGCCCTGAGCTGGAAACTCCTCCCGGATCCCACGTGACACCTGAGACAGGAAGTGGGGCTCGGTGACACTGGCGTGGGGGCCACTCTCAGCCCTGACACCTGGAAGCACGAGAGGGGCCGCCCAGGGCCTGCAGGTGCGTCTCCCCGAGTCACGGCCGCATCCTTGGGGCCTGACCTCTTCTCTTTGTGCCGCAGATCCGTACCAGATCCTGGGGCCGACGAGTAGCCGCCTCGCGAATCCAGGTGAGGTGCTGCCGGTGGCTTTCCTCCGGCAGGGGTACCTGGGTGGCAGCGGGCAGATTTGGGGGTTTGCTGGCACTGGGTCATTGGCCCAAGTGGGGAAAAAAATGGGTCAGGCGATACATTAAGATTTGGGGCTCAGCGAAGAGCGTCCTTACCTTTTCCAAATGACAGGGGTTCCTGGGGTCGCAAGAACAGAGCAACACGGGTGGTGGGGGGAGGCTCGGACAGCAGACGGGTCTCGGGCCACAGTGTGGAGCGTGAAGTCCAAAGTCAAGGTGTTAGTGGGTGGCTCCTTCCGAGGGCCATGAAGAGAGGGTCTGCCCCAGACCTCGGTCCTTGGCTTGCAGACGGCCACCTTCTGCTGTGTCCCTTTCCCTGGCTCCCCTCCCTGTGTGTCTCTCTGTCTGAAGTCACCTTGTCCTCCTAACAGCACTGGGCCTGTTGGATTCGGGTCTCCGGTGGCCTCGCTTTAACTCAGTCGCCTCTGCAAAGACCTCGCGTCCAAATAAGGTCACAGTCTGAGGTTCTGCGGGGGGCGGGGGGAGGGTGCGGAGGACTCCAACGTGTGGATTTGGGGAGGGGCACAAGCCAGCCTGTCACACAAGCAGTTACATCGTAGTTGAAGAAAGGAGACCGCTAATCACAACCACACGTTTTCCAGTTGAGGGTTCTCTTCCGTGAGTGGTCTGTTTCTCAGCTTAGATGCTAGAAGCACAGACTCACAGTTGGCCCGTTGGTAACCTGTTGGTAACCTTGCCAAGCACTGTCCCCTGGCGTCCCGTTTGAGTCCCGACCACGTAGTTCTGTCGCTCGCGTTCAGATCGGGGCCAGCCGTGCTCGGAGAGTCACAGCGCAGGCCGCGCCTCCTCCACGGCGGGTTCGAGCGCCAAGATGTCGCGGGCGTCCTGCACGCACACGCCCGAGTGTGTGTCCCCTCAACACGGGGCCAGAAGGGGGCCGGGGATGGGGAAGTCAGGTGCGGCCGGCAGACGCCCTCTCAGGGGGACGGACGCTTCGGGAACACGAAACACCTCCGTGGAGAGTCTGCCCTGGTTGGCGTTTTACTTTAGTCCAGGTTAACTCATTGCACAGAGACTCTTTAAGCAGCTGACCGGTTAGAAGGGACTGTCCTGTTTACTGCTCTCCCCGACTCAGGGCCGAGAGCAGGTGCCCAGTGATTGTTTGTGGAATAAAGAAGGGGGAGGGCAGTGAGGTGTCCTCCTGACCCCGAGGAGAGCGTACACTCTAATGCAGAAGTGGGCACGGGTAGTTCCAACACTGTCCAAGCCGGCGGGTGGGGGGCCGTGCAGGGCTCTTTCCACAAACACGAGCATCCACGTGGGGGCCACGCCTCCTGGGTCCCTGGCCCCTCCTCCTGCCTGGGGTCCACTTCCCACTTGTGACGGCCTCCGTAGCCCTTCGGGTAAGAAGGGTGGCCGTGGTTTGAGATGATTATGGTCAGCCCTGCTTCGGGAAGACCGATCGGGCAGCAGCGTCCGGGAGAGGTCAGAAGGAGGAAGAGACGGAAGCCGGAGCACCCTGGGAACGAACATTCCTGCGATCATGCGAGAGAACTTTCTGGTAGCTCCACCCCCCATGTGCTCAGGCCAGCACCTACGGCCGTGGCCCCACCTCCTCGCAGCCCTGGGAGGGCATCATCTGCACCCTACATAAGAGGGTCTCGAGGCCCAGAGAAGTTAGGCGACCTTCCCCGGGTCACGCAGCCGGTGAGAAGGGAGGCCAGCCTTGAACTCGCCCTCTGTGTCTGCAAAGTCTGTTCCTCTGTGCCTCCCCTGAGCCGCCCTGCGCAAGCCCGGGGGAGAGGGGAGGGCTTGGCGAATGGGGGGCAAGGGAAGGCAGAGGAAGGGTTGCCGCACGGTTGGACAGCTGTTGAGGTGCACGGGCGGGGTCCAAGGTCAGGGGGTGAAGGGGAGGGGCAGGTCCGGGGTGCCTTAGTAGGTCAGCGGCCTCTCGTGTCTGGAGCGAGGGGCCGCCCTTCTAACCCTGGAAACCTTCCTCAGTGGCCTTGGGGATGGATGGTGGCGGCCTCCGGCTTCCGATCTGGATACAAAGGCGTATGTCACTCAGCTTGTCGTGAACCCGCCCGCCTCCCCCCGCACTCACGCCGTCTCGGTTGTGCGCCTGTGACCTCCCCCCCCCCGCCCTGGATGCCACGGCATCTTTCATCTTCCTGTTCACGCTGCTTCCTGTCTGAGTCTGTCGTTCCGTTCTCTGCAGATAACTCCTTCCTCGCTTGCACGGCTGCCTGGGCTCACCACGCGGCACAAATTCTTTCAGCGCTTTCAATAGAAAGACGGTGTCACCTGGCGGGAATGCGCAGGTGACAGCGGCGTCTCCATCCCAGATACGCCCATTGGTGTGCGCTTCGGCTGTGTCTCTCCTGCTGAGCGTGGGTGTCCCTGTGCTGCTGTGCCGTGGGTCACACAGCTCCTCCAGGTCCCCTCAGGCCGGCCGAGCATTTCAGGCGGCCCCTTGAATGGATGGAGACCACCTTCCCACCAGAGAGCTTAGTCGTGTTAGGCTCAGCGGCCTTGATGACAGCCAGGTGGTTTTTCACAGTGGGCAGGAACCTGCCCCCGGCTCCGTGCAAGACCAGAGACCCGGTTCAGGAGTGCTCCCTCGTCTGTTAGGAGGTGGGGGTGTCCGGTCCAGCACTGGGAACCAACAAGCCCCAGGCCCAGGGAGGGGACAGCCTGGAGCCAGGCCCGAGAGGACTGTGGGCAGAAGCCAGGCCCGAGAGCAAGTCTGTGCCGTGATTCGGGGCCACAGCCTGGGGCAGGCTCCCAACGCTTGCTGGCCCGAGCCAGCCTCGTGCCCCCGCCTCCCTGGGCTCTGGGCTCGTCTCTGCCCTGGGCGGTCACGTGACCCTCGAGGGGACTGCCACACACACACTCACAGAGCATGTCCAGAACAGAGCCTGGTGCACTGCAGGCTTCACGTGGGCGGCTCCAGGCTCCAGGCAAAGGGCGTGTCTGTCTTTAAACGGGGGTTTTCAGCTCAAAGCCATCCTGATGAGAACGTTTGCCTGCCTAGTTCCTCCTCACGGTGACCCTGGGAGACAGTCCTGTGACGGTCACCCGGTTTTGCAGATGACGCCACCGAGGCGCGGAGAGCTGGGTGAGCTGCCCGAGGTCCCCGCGCAGCAGAGCCAGGATTCGGCCGGGCAGTGCCAACACCACGGCGGCCCCTCCAAGAAGTCCTTGCTGAGCCCCGCCCCCACCCCCCAGCCCCAGCCGCGCCTTCCCTGGGCCGCGCCTGCCGCCTCCATGTTCCCGGGGTACCTCCCCGGTGCCCCAGCCGTGGTAGAAAGTGGCCCCACCCGGCCGCCACCCGGCGCCTGCTGGGCCCCTCCGCCAGCCGTCCCCGCAGTGTCCTGCTCAGGGACAGTCCCGCCTGCCCTCAGCTGCTGCCCCACTCACTGCTCTGCTCAGACGTTCCGCCCCTCTGTGCCCCGTCTGCACCTCTCTCCCACCGCGTTTCTTTTCCTTCCATCACGTGAGGAGGCCGCTTGCCTCTGAAAACCGCAAGGGTCACCTTCCGTCCTCTCCTGAGCCTGGTGCCACTCATCCCACTGGGCTCTCTCTCCTCTGTGGGTGGGCCGCCCGCGTGGTCATCACCCCGCCGCCCGGTCCTGCCCTGGACAAAACTAGGACTCATGTGCCTGCTCCTCCCTGGGGTTCAGGATGTTGTCACGGGAGAGGGAGAAGACAGGTGCGACAGGTGTTTGATGCACGAGGTGCAGGTGGGTGGGGTGCTGGTGGGGGTGGAGGGCCGGGTCTTACAAGAGTTTCTCCTGCTACTGGCGGGTTCGGCCCGTGAGCCCCTAGTCAGTCTTTGGCTTCCCAGGCCGTAGGCATTCCTGTGTCGGAACCCCCGTCCCGCACTCTCACATGCGTGTGTATTGCACGGGAAGCGCTACTGCTCTGAGAGTAAAAGACTAGAATGGACGGCTTTTGAAACTGTGGCCGTGAGTGGTTTTTAATTCACCACTGACTGTGATTTCTCAGCACCCACGGAGAATCCCCGCCCCGGGATGAAGTCTGGCGTGCACTTCGAGCGCCGTGGGTTTTGCGATGCTTGTTCGATTGAACAGCTCGTGACCTGGACGTGGTGTCCCCTCTCACGAACACCCATCGCCGTGGCACTAACGGTCGTGTCTCAGGTGGGGAAGCGGGGGGGTTTCGTTTGCAGAACTCTCACTGCCGATGGCCCTGGAAATGCCCAGGGGCCCGGGCCCCACGTCTTCAAGGCTCATTTGGGGTAAAGCAGGGAGTAAACCCTCCTCCGTCCCCGTGAGCTTTGCGTTTCCAGCCGGGGACCTGGGGCCCCGATGCCCCAGTGCTTCAGGAGCAGTGGGGGCGGGAGCCCCCTCGGCCCACGGGTCCCCCGTCTCCCACGTTTGTGAAGGGCAGACCCCCGAGGGGCAGCGCCGGAGCGCACAGACACCAAGCCTTCCGGCTGCCGGGGAAAGTCTGCATGTTTATGCAAAATGTGAGGAACTGCTCTTTTCGTGGGAGGAGGCTGACAGTGAATATTTATTTTCAGACCATTCCCTGTTTATAGGGAAGCATATGGTAGACCCATAAATCAAAAAAAAAAAAAATCCATGTTTTCTCCTATTCCCAGGTCATCGATGGAATTTTTTTTTCCAAATATTAATCCTTTGGTTACAATGCATATACTAAAACCATATGCCATTCTCATCCCGCTCTTTGTGTTGTTGATGCATATTAATGCCACGTTGGGGGCGAGGACGCCTGATTGAGACCAGTTCGAACACGTCGTCCCGGAGCAGCGGAGGCTCCCATTGGGATGAACTACAAGCTGCTAATACCTTTCAAATGTGCTGCTCGACTGAAAACGATAACCTTCCAGAACGCAGGCGGGAAAGGCCGACCTTTCTCACGACGCTGCCGTGCGGACGGACTCACGTCCACGTCCACAGAGCCGGCGTGGGCGTGGGGGTTTATGAGGCGGAGCACGCACACTCGGGGCCAAGTTAGACACAGGCGGAGTGAACACACACGTATGATCGGTTCTTCCATTACGTCTGTGCCCGGAACGGCGGCCAGTTCCAGTGGCTTGAATCACCCGGTCACATCCACTGATTCCTACGGACACTAGAATCAGCGGTCACGTTTCGGTCATGAGCCCGGGGCAGCGCTGTCGCTGGAGTTTAGGCGGCAGGAACGGTTTCTTACCCATTCTCAGAGCGCCCCTGCCTCTCCCTTGGGACTCGGGACCACCGTCAGGATTCACGCGCGTCCCTGCTTCAGGGGGGCCACGCGTCATCCTGAAGTCCCGCGCCTCCGTGGCTAGAAGGACGTGTCCAGATCTGTCTCTGAATCTCACGGGACGCAGAAGCTGCCTCCGTGTGCCCCGGGGAGGGGACCAGGGACTCCCTGGCAGTGCCCGCGCAGTCAGACCAGGTCCCCTGGACCCACGGCCCCTCGCTGGCGCCCTCATCCCGTCGGGGACGCTTCCGAGCGCGGTGGGCGTTGCCGTGTGGGGGGCCCGGCGCGTGGGTTTCCGTCAGGGCACATGTGCCCAGAGGCCGGAAACGGGCGACCTGGTTTGACTGAGAGCCAACTTTTTTCTGTGCTTCCTCGTTTTGAGCGGGCGGGTTCTGCGCTGGGGAAAGTTTGGACAGAATGGCTTTCCGAGCGCCAGCCGGCACACTGTTATGTTGGAAATAACGGGTGTCTACTTCCATTCTCTCTTCTTTTCCGTAAACGTTTTAGAAGTTCATTTCCTAAACCTGACTTTTATTATTTCACTTGACCTGGCCCGTGTAAATGGTGTGAAGTCATTATTGCCACCGACATAACGACACATTCTGCTTCACAAAAAGAGGAAAAAGAAGCCCTCCCATCCCCCAAAACACGCTGACCCGGCTGCCTCTCTCGGGCAGCCAGACGTGGTTTGGCACCCACCAGGCCTGGCCCCGTGGGAGCTCTCTGCTTCTGCTAAAGGACTTGGTCCATCGACCCGCCTGAGGGTCACTCACCAAGGGCCATCACCCTGGGTCAGGTCCCCTGGGTGCGGAGTGTGGGGGAAGGATATTGTGTGTATGACCAATGAGGGGAGGGAGGGCGTGAGGAAGCAGGACAGGGCAGGGAAAGCTGAGGTCGCTGGGGCTTTAGCTGGGCCCCTGCTTCAGTCTGACCGCAGGGACCCTCTGGAGCATGAACAATGTCACACACTTGGCCCCTCCCAGAGGCAAGGGGGCCCCCGTCCCTGGTACCCCTTGTGTGTGCCTCCGGCCATGGGCTGCTGGGGTGGGGGTGGCAGGCCCTGGCCAGCCACGGGCAGTGACCTAGAGACCAGGGGAGGCCCCTGCACTTGAGGGACAGGGCCACAGGCCTGGGAAAGGGGCCTGGGCGCGCCTGCAGCGCCCACCTCCGTGACTGGAGAAGGAACGCCTTTCTGTGGAACCTGTCCTCACTGGTCTTGTGTTTCCCGCCTCTCCTCTTTAGGGAGCGGACAGATCCAGCTTTGGCAGTTCCTCCTGGAGCTCCTGTCCGACAGCTCCAACTCCAACTGCATCACCTGGGAGGGCACCAACGGGGAATTCAAGATGACGGACCCCGACGAGGTGGCCCGGCGCTGGGGGGAGCGCAAGAGCAAGCCCAACATGAACTACGACAAGCTCAGCCGCGCCCTCCGCTACTACTACGACAAGAACATCATGACCAAGGTCCACGGGAAGCGCTACGCCTACAAGTTCGACTTCCACGGGATCGCCCAGGCCCTCCAGCCCCACCCGCCGGAGTCGGCCCTGTACAAGTACCCCTCGGACCTGCCGTACATGGGCTCCTACCACGCCCACCCGCAGAAGATGAACTTCGTGGCGCCCCACCCTCCGGCCCTGCCCGTGACGTCGTCCAGCTTCTTCGCCGCCCCGAACCCCTACTGGAATTCGCCCACGGGAGGCCTGTACCCCAACACGAGGCTTCCGGCCGGCCACATGCCTTCCCACCTGGGCACTTACTACTAAAGACCCGAGCGAGGCCCTTCCCGACACCACCACGCGGTCACCAGCGAATAGCCACAAACTCGGCTGGAGGAGAGGCGTCCACACGGGCCTCGAGGGGACCGGGGGAGCTTGGCGGGAGCTGGGGAGGAAGCCGCCGTGGGCGAGACCCAGAGACTCTCAGCGGGAGGGGGTTGCCAAAGTATTACTACAGGAGTAGAGAGGATGCTAGCTACGTCACGCGTATGGACCTATGATCTGTGGCCCGACCTTGCAAAGGACATTGTACGTAGACGCACGACGTCCCAGGACCAAGTGCAGAAGGGAGCGGTCTTAGGGAGTGTACACACGTTAGAGCAGAGTTCGGGGTCCTGCTAACCATGCCGACCGGGGTTGAACCGAAGCAATACAGATAACACCGTCTTGACCTAGCCTACCGTTCATGACGCCATTTTAAGGAAAACTACCTGTATTTAAAAATAGAAACATATCAAAAGAAGAAAAGAAAAAAAGAGAGAGAGAGAGAGACTGTGCCACAGACGTCGACACGGAACTCATCGGCGTTTGCCGTTTCTGGTGAAATCGGATTCGTTCCACGCGGTGGAGGGCGGTCGGCTCTCTCAAACTGTGAAGACGACCCAGGGTTCCCAACCCCTTTCCAGTGTTCCGGGGGCGAGGGGCCGAGCGGCGGGCGGACGGACGGATGGAGGACGTGCAGGGAGGGCATGTGGCCGGAGGCAGAGGGCTGGAGGACGTGCAAGAGGAGGAGGAGGCGGCGGCAGCGGAGGAGACGGCTGAGCAGGGGGCGGCGGGCCAGGGGCAGGAGCTCCTCCGGCCGTGCGGGCTGGACTTGGGGCCGAGCCGGGACTGTGGAGGCGGTGACTCGGAGACTCGGGGTTGGGTGCAGTCCGTCCCGCACCAAACCCAGTGTTGCAGGGAGGGCGCCGTGGAAGGAGGGAGGTGAAGTGGTGGAATTCAGACACAGAAACGTGCATCTCTTTTTTTTTTTGGTTTTTGTTTGTTTGTCAAAAGAAAATTGTAACTGGAATTGACTGCTATTTACAATGATCATTCAGGACAGCAGGCTCCCGTGGGGGCTGCGTTCTCCACGGGGTCAGGTGAGAGAAGCCATCTTGGCCCCCGCGTGCCGACATCCCCCCCTGGGCACCCGACAGCCCCCCGGGGCACCCAGTGGGGGGAGGCGGGCTCCAGTGCTCCTTTTGAGTCGCGAACGCTGTGCGTTTGTCAGAGTGAAGTATACAAGTCAACGTGTTTTTCCCCCCTTTTTATATAATAATTATATAACTTATGCATTTATACACTACGAGTTGATCTCGGCCAGCCAAAGATACATGACAAAAGAGACAATCGACGCTATAATGTGGCCTTGAAATTTAACTCTGTATGCTTAATGTTTACAATATGAAGTTATTAGTTCTTAGAATGCAGAATGTATGTAATAAAATAAGCTTGGCCTAGCACGGCAAATCCGATTGACACAGGAGTCTGCATTTGCACTTTTTTTTCCGCGACTGAAGTTGTGTTAAGAGAGCCCTGTGCTGGAAGTGGTGGGTTTTGTTACAGTGTCATTAGGTCCCGGAGCTCGTGGAAGTGAGAAGCGAGCAGATAGGGGGTCTGGCATCCAGACAGCATCACTGGCTTCTATAGGTCACCCTTGTCCCCTCTCTTTTATTCCTCGTCCCTTCTGGAGCAGAGGGACTGAAGGTCTTCTCCCCCCGAGGCCTCCTTTTTTATGCCCGGAATGGAATGAGGCCTCTAACACCGAGGTTGTCATGGAGGCGTTCTGGATTAGCCCTGGGATGGTGAGCACCCTTGCTTCTGTGATCACAAAACATCTGCGGAATGAACAGGCCATAGCTCTTCGTGCAAACTGTATGATCATCAATAAATAAAGCGTCGTGATAGCCGTGACTGCTCCCTTTAAAGAACCCAGCGGCAGCCTCTAAATTTTCCACTTGCCTTCTCCCTCCGAGGATCTCGCCCCGCCCCAGGCTCATCTGGCTGCCGTGGTGTGGGAGTCACCAGCCCCGGGGCTGACATATTACCAGACACTGGGTGTTTCTCTGATCTCAGGTCACTTTCTCTCGACGTCTTTTCTCTCGTGCGCGTCACCCATGCCGCCAACCTCGGCCAAGGCGACGGCAGTCTGAGAGGCAGAACACAAACCCTAGCCAGACAGAGCAAACCCGACCAGCCCGGGGCAGTTTCTGAGTGGGCCCATTTCGCAGCCGGCGTGGGGCTTGTTTTGCACCATGTCATCCTCTTGCCGTGATTCGGGCAAGCTGCCAGACCCCGGTGCGATGGCTCTGGTGGCAGTGGCCTTTCACGGCAGCGCGGTCCGGTGCCCAAAGCTTCAGACACTGCATTACTTGGGGCTCAGAGGAGCCCTCCCATCAATCATTTCCCAGCAGCTGGGGAAAGGCCCCCAACGTGCTTCTGTGTCTTGGGGGAAAGATAGATAAATAAGAGCATCAAAGCGGGCAGCTGGGGCGAGCCGCGCTGCTCGAATGGAAAAGATCAGTCGTTTTTATTCGGGGATGCGAAGTCGAGGCACGCCTCCGTGCCGCGCAGAAACACCAACGCACTCGGCTCGTCCCTCAGTTCCACTCTTCCCAGGCTGTGCCACGAGGGGAATAACGGAAACAAGACGTGACGACCGCGTTCGGCTGCGCCAGGTGTTTCCAGTTAGGTCCCCCCCGACGCCCCCACCCCCTCCAGATGATCAGCGAGCTCTCCGACACGCGTGGTAACTCTGGAGATGATGATGCCGGGTCCTCCCAAATACGTCATTCTTACACCGTGTCGCCCAAGACAGGCGACCCTCTGCTCCTGTCTTAATCTACCTTCAGAGCGCTCTCTGGTTCCTGCTCCTCGTCCCACAACACAACCTTTTTCTCTCTCTGCTCCTCCCGCGCCGCTGCTCGCCCCGTGTGTGCGCACAGACCCCGCGCAGCCTCGCTCCCGCCAGCAGGACACGCGTCCCCTCGTCTCAAGTTGTCTTCAGGGCACTTAGGGGAACCTTGCCTATTATGCTCGAGGCTCAGCCACAGGTCCATTCTGGCTCCCAGCCTGGTGCCCCGGCCACACCTCCACGGGGTCCAGGGTGAGGCCGTAGGTCAGGACAGATGCAGTTAGAGGGCGCCCTGCTTCCCCGAAGCACCTCTCCCCATTCCCCCCCCCAGGAACAGGGGCCTGGAGGGACGTGTTCAGGGGGCAGGTGCGGGGCAGACAGCTGAGGCTCCGGAGCTGGGAATGTGATGGGAAAGAGATAGCACAGACGCCCCCAAATGGACCTTTAACGGCGGACACAGAACAAGGTAGTTCAAAGACGTGGCTGAACCAGTCTCTCATCACTCCATCCGACAGACATTCTCAGATGGCTGATGAGACTATGCCAGGTTCTGTTCCTTCTCTTTGTCTTGTTTTAAAAACTTCTTAACAATGTTTTCATGTCAAATGAGGGTAAGGCTGGATGCAGACATCAAGTGTCACAGGAAGCTAAGACCCCCTTCTCGATCACAGAGCGGTGGTTCTCAGAGTGTGGTCCCCGGACCAGCGGCATCAGCCTCGCCTGGGGGCTGGTTAGACCTGCGTGTTCTCGGACCCCGCCCCAGACCCGAGGCAGGGACTCAGCCGCCAGTCCCAGCCCGGCCATCGGCTCCGACAGCCTTCAGGAGATTCTGATGCCTGGCGGAGTTTGACGAGCACTGCCGTGGAAGGAGAGACGGTCTGTGTCCAGTTGTGGAGCATTCAGTGTGAAATCTCAGCCCCACAAAGCTCGTGTCTGTGGCTGTGTGGAATCTGCCCACGAGGTCAAGCCAGGTTACCCCGGACGTGTCATCCCGGGTTGCGCTGCCTCGGGGCCGCTCTCCTCCCGACTGTTAACTGGTCCCATATGAATGCGTAATTATCTGCTGCTGAGTGGCAGATGACCACGCACGGTACACGTCTGCTCTCTCACAGCGTCTGTGGGTCAGGAGTCCGGGCACCACCATGTCACTGTGTCCCCCGCCCAGGGTCTCACCAGGCTGACACCCAGGGATCAGCCAGGACTGAGGTCTCATTTCCTCCCTGGCTGTCAGCCAGGGCCACTGCCAACTCACAGAGGCCACTTGGGGTCCCTGCCACCTGGCCCTCTGCTCAGCCAGGCAGTGGGGCCTTCGAGGCCAGCAGGAGTCACCCTCTTACTGCAACTCTGACTTCTTATCGGGGTTCTCCTGATTAAACCAGGCCCACCCAGGATATTCTCTCTTTTTTAAAATTAATTCAAAGTCAACTTATCAGGGCCTTAATTACATCTGAAAATGTACTCTCACTGCAGACAATCACCTAATCACAGGAGTCAGGATTCCTCCTGTTCACGGTTTCACTCATGACCCAGCAGGAAAGATTCTGTAGGGCGTGTCCATTAGGAAATAGAAATCTTGGGAATTCTGCTCACACACCCTGGATGCGTGTATCTTCTAGCGTTTTCTAAGCTCTGCACACTGGAAGCCCTGCGCTCCAAGGCCCCCTCTCTCGCGAGCAGTGTGGACTTCTTTGAACCAGCCTGATGCTCTTTCTCTCATGAAGTGGCAAAGATTTATGCTGAAAATGTAAAGCTAATGCCAGCTTTTCAGTGGTATTTAATTTTTTTTGACTTTATGGAAAAGTCAGCCCAAGTTAGTTCTATATGGAAATAAATATGCAGACTCTTCTTATACTTTTTATTTTCAACTAATTTTATAAAGCAGAAAAGCTTCATTCATTTTCTCATAAACATTTTTTTTTTTACAAAATGTTATTTTGGTGAGGCAAGACATCATATTACTTGGTTACGATTTGTTCCAGAACAAGTTGAATTACAGACTTAAGCAGGAAGCATGTTAAATGTAAGAACTTTTTTTTAAGTTCATTTTTCATGTTTCTTGTTCCCTAGAGAAAATAATACAAAATGGTAGCCAGAATTTCATTTTGCGAGGACTTCATAAACCAGTTTTGAGGGTCTACAAGGTCATGACTGGTTGGGCGGACACGGCCGAGAGTACTAACCCACATAGGAGGAGGGTCCTGGGGACAGATTCCAGGCCACTGCCCTTGACCTTACTTATTCATACCTTCCTAGGTGAGGGCCTGGGTGGTACATTAAGACAACTCCAGCTGCTGTGGGCGGAGAAGAGAACAGGTTACACAACAAGTTCAGGGTACCAAGAGCAGGTGAAGGGATGGGCCCAGCTTAACAAGCAACTGGCACTTACTGATGCTGGGATCTGCATCATGTTCAAAACACCTGGGAGCAGGGCTGCTGAGCACAGCACCTGTGACAAGCTGGTCAGGGCTGGGGCACGAGACGCGGAATATCCAGCAGCTGCTGAGCGAAGAGGCCGGCACAGCTGAACACGTCAAACGCGCTGCCTCGTGGCTCCTTGCAATCTTCCTCCTGAAACAAATTAAAGACGGACAGTCCCGACACTCAGGTGAAACAAGCTGCTTAGCACGCCCAGGTGACCCGATGCTTATCCCAGGACCGACTCCCAAATTTCCGTTCTGAAACGATTTTGCCTCGTGCTGACACCACACGGGGTGGGGGGGCATGACCACTCAAACGTAGGTTGCATTTTGTAAAACAGGTCCTGAAAGAGGACTTCTCCACGTGGAGCTGCTGCCAGCGTCAATTCTGCGCACACACAGTACCCCTCCTCTGTGCGGAGGGGTACAGGCCGGCTGGAGACGAGGGGGTGAGGAAGCCCAGACCCGGGTGGAGGAGCAGCGGGAGGACTGCCCGGTGTTACACTGGAAGCAAGATTACATGTCTGGTCCCTCAGCCCAGGACGCCGCTTGGCGCATGGCAACAGTAAGCTGCCAGTAAATGTCTTCCCCTGTGTGGATGAATGAACAAGCGAAAGGTAACTCTGCACTCCGCAGGGACGCCCTCGAGCCAAACTCGGAAAAGAACCTGAAATCAGAGCAGCACTGTAAGGAAAGGCCAACCCCTGCCCCGCCTGTGGGCGTGCCCACAGGGACCACGTGACCACTCGCCAGCTATTTAGCGGCACCTGGAAGTTGGGTGGGGGCTCGCTCCTGGGCTGTTCAGGTCGTTTTCAGTTCTGTGCCATTTGGGTTCTGCAAAATGATGAAATGCCATGCACACAGACAGGGAAGAGCGTCTGAAATGACAGCGGCTTGGAAGCTGCCTCCTGGGCAGTCGGGGCAGGAGCCCATTCCGGAGCTGAACATCACGTAGGCGCTAGAATCCCTCACGCTCGCTTCTCCTGCAACTCTGGGTCTCCCAAGTGACTGCAGCCTACGCTGCTGGGAGGCTGGAACGCATCCTGTCGGCCCCACATTTTCTCACCGAGGAGGAAGGCCCCCCCACACCCCCCACACCCCCCACACCGCAGCAGGCCTCCACAAAAGCGCGCTTCTTGGGGTTGTTGGTCACAGTCTGCTCAGCATTAGACACGGCTCAGCGGGAGGAGTCGGGCGGCCCCCGGGGGCC